CAAAACAGGAAAAAAAAATAAAAATAAAAAGAACCAGGCAAAAGGGGGGAAAATGGGAAAAAAGTGTCCGAAAATAGTGCCTCATGACCCCGCAGGAGTCCCCCGCGGACTCCCCTGACATTCCTCCATGGTCGAAATCATCCAACTCAACTTTGGTGAGAACCGGGAAAAGGGGTCAAAATGTAAAAATTGTACCCCAAAATAGTGCCTCATGACCCCGCAGGAGTCCCCCGCGGACTCCCCTGACATTCTTCCATGGTCGAAATCATCCAACTCAACTTTGGTGATAACCGGGCAAAGGGGTCAAAATGTAAAAATTATACCCCAAAATAGTGCCTCAAAATCGGGTAGAGTCACCTGCAAAGTGCCCTCGCATTCCTCCATGGCTCAAAATGTCGAACTTAAACTATTTGGAGAACCAGAGAAATGTAAAAAATACGCCCCAAAATAGTGCCTCAAAATCGGGTAGAGTCACCTGCAAAGTGCCCTCGCATTCCTCCATGGCTCAAAATGTCGAACTTAAACTATTTGGAGAACCAGAGAAATGTAAAAAATACGCCCCAAAATAGTGTCTCATAATCGGGTAGAGTCACCTGCAAAGTGCCCTCGCATTCCTCCATGTCAAACTTTAAGTATTGAGAGAACCAGGCTGGGGGGTCCTTGCGCCACAAAATTAGGCCCACTCAAAGTGCTTGGTGAGCGGATACATTCTTCCATGATTTGCAACAGCCGTTATTTTTCTGAGTGCACCCAAAAACTGGGTTTCCGATTTCGTGCAGACGGTAGTTTGAAAAGTATGGATGAATCTTTTTGACAGAGAAGTGGAAATGAAGCCCAGGGACTTTTTCCCCTTCTCCGTTGTACCAACCATCGGAGAAGGGGAAAAATCGGCCCGAAGCGCCAATAGTCTGGCCCCTTCTCCCGTTGGCACTCTGTCATTTTTTTGACAATTTTTCAAAACTTCATTTTTGATTATTTTAAGTTATAATTAAGCGTTTTATTCAATTTTTTTTGCTTTCCACGGGTGGGGGCGCCTGGCAGGCCGCCTATGAGCACCCAAATTCGGCCTGGATCATCCAGGATTTGTGGGCTAAGCTCCATAAACTGACTAAATCACCCAGAGAGGTCACCTTTCTAGCCTAAATATATATAATACAAATACATTTAAATAGTAAAAGGTGCACTTGTGCTCTGCATTACCCGGAATTTTATTTTCATAGCCCCATGATAGTGATTAAAAATCATTTTCATGGGAAAAAGTGTTAAAACGCCTGATTAAATTATATGCAGGACCCCAGTGAGCTCCAGACTATGTGCATTGTGTTGGGGAACCATATAAATGATAGAATAAATGCATTTAAATGCAAAAATAATGATTTTAAATCATTTTAGGGGGACAATTGTGGAGAGGAGCCTGAAAATGACTCTGCAGCAGGCTGCCTATGAGCACCCAAATTCGGCCTTCTTCACGGAACCACGACCCCTTCTGTGGAGGGTATTCTCGTGCCCCTGGTGAGCACACGTTGACCCAGGAAAGAGTCTTCAAAACACAGGTAAAAGTGTGTTAAACAGTGGGGTAACATGTTTGAAATGACAGCACACTGCTGCTTGTTGGCAGGCTGACTCACTTGACTTGTCTCACACACACCCAGGGGGGGAGAAAGAGGACACATTGACCCAGGAAAGAGTCTTCAAAACACAGGTAAAAGTGTGTTAAACAGTGGGGTAACATGTTTGAAATGACAGCACACTGCTGCTTGTTGGCAGGCTGACTCACTTGACTTGTCTCACACACACCCAGGGGGGGAGAAAGAGGACACATTGGAGCACACAATGACCCAGGAAAGAGTCTTCAAAACACAGGTAAAACTGTGTTAAACAGTGGGGTAACATGTTTGAAATGACAGCACACTGCTGCTTGTTGGCAGGCTGACTCACTTGACTTGTCTCACACACACCCAGGGGGGGTGAAAGAGCACACAATGACCCAGGAAAGAGTCTTCAAAACACAGGTAAAAGTGTGTTAAACAGTGGGGTAACATGTTTGAAATGACAGCACACTGCTGCTTGTTGGCAGGCTGACTCACTTCACTTGTCTCACACACACCCAGGGGGGGTGAAAGAGCACACAATGACCCAGGAAAGAGTCTTCAAAACACAGGTAAAAGTGTGTTAAACAGTGGGGTAACATGTTTGAAATGACAGCACACTGCTGCTTGTTGGCAGGCTGACTCACTTCACTTGTCTCACACACACCCAGGGGGGTGAAAGAGGACACATTGGAGCACACAATGACCCAGGAAAGAGTCTTCAAAACACAGGTAAAACTGTGTTAAACAGTGGGGTAACATGTTTGAAATGACAGCACACTGCTGCTTGTTGGCAGGCTGACTCACTTGACTTGTCTCACACACACCCAGGGGGGTGAAAGAGGACACATTGGAGCACACAATGACCCAGGAAAGAGTCTTCAAAACACAGGTAAAAGTGTGTTAAACAGTGGGGTAACATGTTTGAAATGACAGCACACTGCTGCTTGTTGGCAGGCTGACTCACTTCACTTGTCTCACACACACCCAGGGGGGGAGAAAGAGGACACATTGACCCAGGAAAGAGTCTTCAAAACACAGGTAAAACTGTGTTAAACAGTGGGGTAACATGTTTGAAATGACAGCACACTGCTGCTTGTTGGCAGGCTGACTCACTTCACTTGTCTCACACACACCCAGGGGGGGAGAAAGAGGACACATTGACCCAGGAAAGAGTCTTCAAAACACAGGTAAAAGTGTGTTAAACAGTGGGGTAACATGTTTGAAATGACAGCACACTGCTGCTTGTTGGCAGGTAAACATTGTTTAATTATTTAAGTGTTTTTAAATGTATGGAACAGTGTTTTGTCTCTTTCAAAACTCTCCCGTCATTGGCCGGATACATGGGGACGATTTTATATTCACTATGACCGTTACTATTCCAGTGAGACGAAGTACGTCCGGTGACGGGAGTGATCCCATGTTAATTTTGTCCAAAAACCAGAGCATTCCCTTATCAATATCAAGCCACTTATTGTTTTTAATCTGGCTGTGAGTTTGTGTGTGCTCAGGATGAGTTTGGCTGTGTTTGGCTGTGTATCCTAAACAAGGAAACAACACCTCCACGGAGCTCAGCGCGATTCACAACGTCCCGACCAATCAGAGCACACTGTGCTCACAGGGAGGGTGGGGGCTGGAGCTATTGGAGCTACAACGAGCCGTTAAAGGCAGAGAGTGAAATTCAGTGAATACACATAGTTTACAGAGATGCTGTATGAGAAACCAATGTGAGTTTGGATGATTGCACAATATAAATCTATTCTAGTCCCGCCAACACCATGTCCTGTCCCGTTGGGGGTCCCGCCGACACCTCTTCTGCCGAGGGTCCTGCCAAGACCAGCCCTTGTTCTGTTGGGGGTCCCGCCGACACCGGTTCCTGTCCCGTCCGGGGTCCCACCGTCTCCTGCTCCCAGTGCTCCCAGTGCTCCCGATCCCAGTGCTCCCGATCCCAGTACTCCTCCTCCGGCAATCCAGCTGACTCCGGAGGGGTCCCAGCGCGGCCTACACCGCCCTCCTGCCCGTCCTCCAGAGCTGTACCGCCTCCGTCCTGCCCATCCTCCGGAGCTGTCCCGCCTCTGTCCTGCCCGTCCTCCCGTCGCCGCAGCCTTTGTCGCCGCGGCCTTTGTCGCCCCTGGCGCTCCGGCCCCCTGACTTTACTCGCCGTGGCTTCACCCCTGCTCGACCTCTGCGTTGCCCTCGGGCCGTCCGCCCGAGTCCCCCTTCTTGGCCTCTGCTTTGCCCCTGGGCCGTCCGCCCGAGTTGCTTCCTGTCTCTGTGTTCCCTCCTGCTTGATTACCCGAATGTGTTCACCTTGTGCCCCTGTGTTTTCTCTTCCCTCCCCATCTGTGTCTTGTTCGTGGGATTAGTCTTGTGTGAATTTAAAGGGGACCAATCATGCAAAATGCACTTTTGTACGTCTTTTATACATGAATATGTGTCCCCGGTGTTCCAGGGAACTCACCAAGTGTCAGAAAACACAACCCTCTCTATTTTCCTCCATACCCAAATCTCTAAAAAAGGGACTGCAACGGATCTGATAAAAACTGATACAGATTTGAACACTGTCCTGACGTCAGGACGGTGGCGCTACGGCTATTGGGCCAACTCCACAAATCAGGAGGAGACAACCACGGCATTGCCGTTCGAAAGCGCTGGAGACACTGTAGTACATATGCCAGGCCTCTAGAGGGTGCTGTTGCTCACAGAATCAACCCTTGCAAAAACAGAGCTAACATTTTTCAAATTGAGCAAAATGAGGCATGGCTAAAATGCATGATCTGTTTGGTATTTTGAAAAAAAAAAAGTATAAATATGCCTTATATAGGTATGGTCCTACACTATATTATTCAAATATAGCATAATAGGTCCACTTTAAGTTCAGTTTTTTCTGAAAAAGTCTTGAAGTCGTTGGAATGATTTTATTCTGAGGGATTTAATGTTTTGCCTTGCCTTATTTTACTTTGTTGCCTGGCCTTGTTCCGCAATTAAAGGATTTTATGATTTTCAACCAACCTTCTGCATTTGGGTCCTGTCTACCTTGCCCTCCAGCCGTGACAGATTCATGCTCATGACTGCTTACAGTATAACGATAATTAACCAGCACCGTAAGCAGATTAAAAAGCATGGTTTCTTTTTTAACAAAAACATGTATCTTTATCATTTATAATTGACATGGACAAGAAAGTGTTAGCAAAGTAGTTGTTTTTTAATGACATGATGGTAATGTTTGAATCCTAAAATTATAAAGGCATACCACTTTGGAAGATGAATTGAGGGCTGTTGTGCTGGAGGAGATGTCACTATCTTCCTGATTTAAATGTTTTAAGAAATAAGTTTTAATATTAAAATATGAGTCAAAACATTGACACCATCTGATAAATCCTTCAGGTAAATATCCTCTAATTAAGTTCACACAAAACAACCAATGATCTTGGATTATATTTATTTGATTATGTTAGTTACAGCTAGAAAATATTTTTCAATGATGAATCTGTTTGTGTTTGAATAATTTTCCTTTCAAACTATGAAGGCCTCCAGGCGTCTCTGCAGGGCAGAGTCGGCCGACAGGAGCCAGCAGTCCAGTGTCAGGGGGGGGGAAATACTGTAGTCAGCAGCATTGGCCCTGGAAAGCAAAGACAGAAATAGTCATATACTTCTTATATAGATAGATAGATAGATAGATAGATAGATAGATAGATAGATAGATAGATAGATAGATAGATAGATAGATAGATAGATAGATAGATAGATAGATAGATAGATAGATAGATAGAACAGCTTTTTATTAAAAACAAACTAAAACATACCTGGTAACGTCAATCTCCTGGTCTTTGATCCTAAGTTTTGTGAAGGGAATTTGTGGCACCTCCTCATAAACTGGATTCAGAGCTGGACACAGAGCGCAAACAACAAAGAAAGAAAGCTGGCCTTCAAGGAAATGCAGCAAATGCAGCAAATGTTTGCATCTTTTAATTAATTATTTATCCACCAATCATCACAGTTGGGTGCAAATATTGATATTGTGATGTTTTGTTGAACTGATATGTAATCATACAAAACATTTCATAATTTTTACCCACCTAAAATTCCTTCAGCGCTGTCCGATGACTGCTGTCTTAAAACGGGCCAGAGGAATGATTGAGCGTCCTTTCCCTGAATTAAGATGACCAAGTGTGTGTCCCCACCAGCAACATCGATTTCCTTGTCCCGCCTAATAATTGTCCAACTAGAAAAACATTTTTGCAGAGAGTTAGACAAGAACATCAGTAGCACTAGGGCGTCTGGGGTGAATTTGATCCTGCTGTTGCTCTGAGATGATCTAAGGCCAAATATGAAAAACAAGATGGCAAGATCCTGCCATTACTACGTAGAGTCACCTTCCAGCTGTGATGGGATCCTGTCCAGTGTGGTGTGTTATTCTCGATCCCTCTCTCACGGTGATTTTATTGAGTTCAACATCAACATACAGGTCAGCATTGAGCTGGATGACAATCCTTCTGAAGCCTCCATTCGTTACTGAATGTAGCTCGCCGTGTACAGACAGCTCTGATACAAAAGAGAAACAATTTAACTCAACTCAATATCACACTGTTATCCTTGCTGTACAAATATCTTTCAATTAAGTATAAGTACCAGTACAATACAATACTCAATAATACACTCCGACACAAGTAGTCAGATCTTGGACTAAAGTAAAAGTAAAAATACTGCAGTGTAAAAATACTCTGTTACAGGTTAACCTCCTGCATTCAAAATGTTACCTAAGCAAAAGTACTAAATTATTAGCAGCAAAATATATCTTTGTACCAGATCTAAAAGTACTCATTATCTAAAGCGGATATTTTCAAAATAATACAGTATACTATTTTCCCGGATTATAATTAGTGATGCATTAATGTGTATATCATTTTAATTTTGCAGCTGGTTAAGGATGAGTTAACAATTATAACCTTTGTATACTAAACTGCTTTAAGTATCCTCATACATTATAGCATATCCTAATGTATGTGTTGATTTCATTTTTGTATTGATAATATGAACCTGCAAAAGTAACCAGTAATTCATGTTGTCATATCAAAGTAGTGAGGTACAATATATGCTGCCAAAATGTGGGAAAAAAGTATAAAGTAACATCAAATGAAAATACTCAAGTAAAGTACATGTACCTTAAACATGCAACTAAGTACTTGAGTCAATGTACTTAGTTACTTTCCACCACTGCTAAATTGACTTGACTTTAAGTATCAAATGTAATATACACTGTACTGCAGCCAGTGGTACTCCCTCTAGGGAACAACAGATGTTGTGAGACATTTATATTTAAATGAAGTAACTCTCCATTAAACGTAGACAAAGTCAAAACTGCAATATTTCCATCTGAAGTTAGTAAGAGTACTTTTAATTAAATTCTAAATAACTACAGTAGGCCCACTTGAGTGAATGGCCTTTGTTACTTCCAACCACTGCAAACTAAGGGTGATCATGGGTTACACTATACACACAAAAGGAGGAGAAAGAAATAAGTGTTTTCTTTTATACGTAGGGAGAAAAAAAGCAAACTAATAGAGGTTTACGATTAGGCTTTTAAAGATATGTAAGTGAAATAGTGAAGGCACAGAGAGGAGCTTTACTGACCACTGGTGGGATGGTGAAGTAGTTTAAGGCGAACGTCTCCAGTGACATCAAAGCAGAGTGGAAGTGACTGATTCTCAGCTTTTAGCAAAAACCGATGGGAAACAGGAACTAAAGAATAATAAAGGATAAGGACAGTCACACAGTTGAAGGAAACATTTGTCATGAGAGTAAATAGGATGCCCTGAATTATAAACTAATTCATAATGATTGTCCAAATATGGCATGTGGTTGTGATCAGTACACTTTTGAGAGAAGGTAAATACAGCTGTGGCTGTGAAGCTCTGACTTTTAGCACTTATTTTGCTTTTAGAGTCACACATATTGAAACATTCCAGTGTAAACCAAATTATCTTTACTATTTGGTATTTATATAAATTATTATAAATAACATCGATGAGAAACTCAACTTTTATCTTTTCCCGGCACAATGGTGGCATGAACTTGAGTAGGTGCTATGCTGGCAAAAACAACTGTAAATTACATTTAAACAAAGTCAGTTATACATAATTACATTACACAATTCCAGTTCACTTGGCTTAATCTAACACATAATGCGCACGCACGCACGCACGCACACACACACACACATACACACACACACACACACACACACACACACACACACACACACACACACACACTCACTCACTAACAATAACAACAAATTCATACAGCTTTCAAACACAAGTAATGTGACCAGTGGCCTGTACTACAAAGCAGGATTTTCGGTTAGCGAGGTAAGTTCAGGGTTAACTCTGGGTTTCCGGTCCTACGACGCTGGTTCACTTCTTAGCGGGGTAGATCTACATGGTGACTTATGCTGAACACCTAACCTGCTCCGGAGCAGGTTTTGTTCCAGATAAGAGATCAACTCAGTGAAAGCACCGCCTGCTGACCAATCAGAGCTCAGTGTGGGGAGTTTAAAGCTATCAAGTCATATTACAGGATAAAATAAATACAGTTTTAACTAATGTATGCAGGAAAAAGGTCTGGCAAACATCACCAATAAATCAATAAATAGAATATCACCTCCCATCTTCAGAGCAATCTGACTATTATTACATTAGCGTTATTAAGAAAGCTTACAGGATCAAAGTAACATTACGTACATTTGTTACCAGCTGTTCTTCCTGCACCTTGCAGGTGCAACTATGCTGCTTTTATCCTGGATTAAGTGTTAAAGTCATGGATGTTTAAAGTTTAACTTCTTCGTATTTGTCTAACATGATAGTTTACTATTCATTCATGAAGTATGACTGTGATTGTGTTTAACCAAATGTGTTAGATCTGTTTCTAGTTAGGTTTTAAACATAATGTTAAAGAAATAATCATGAATGAGAATTGATGCATGTTATACTATGACAGCTGTTTATAATTACAACAATTATGAGGAAATAATGATCTATCATGTCAGAAAAGTGCAGATGTGTACTTATATCTTACCTCCCGGAGCAAAGCCTGTTAAAAATAAAAAGATAATAAAAATAGTAATTATACAAATTCAACACAGATATTGATTAACTTTGAAATAGACCCCCTTCCACCTTTAGTTTTTGTAATACAAAAAATGAACTAGGGTTTCTAGTTCGTTTTTTAGCAAAATGTTAAAGGAATAATCATGATTGAGAATTGATTCATGTTGTACAACGACAGTGGTTGATACTTATAATAATTATAAGGAAATAATGATCTATCATGTCAGAGCAGTGCACATGTGCATTTAAATCTTACCTTTTCTTTTTTTTGATGATACTGTTATAAAGGAAAAGATTATGAAGTTGTTATACAAATTCAAAACAGCTGTTAATTCACTTTGAAAAAGTCAAGCATGCATCTCCCTCCACCTTCAGTTTTTGTTTTAACAAACATGAACTATTGTTTCTACTATTATAAGGTAATAGTGTCATGTCAGAAAAATGCATATGTTTATATCTTACCTCGTCCATCTGTTTAAAAGGAACAAATGATAAAGATAAAGTTATTTCACAAATTACAAAACAGCTGTTAATTTACTTTGAAATACTCAAGCATGTACATCCCACAGGGTTTTTAATATTCATCAAAGAAACCAGAGTTTTTCTGATCAGTTTTTTTAGTTTTAGTTTACATTTCTTTACTAATTAAAAAGAATGTATGCTCTATGTACGTTATATAATAATATTAACATTGAAATCAAATCAGGTCAGAGTAGTTCAAATGCTTTCTTACAGTCCATCCCACCATAGCCATCTGTTAAAAAAGATGATAAAGAAAAAGTTATGATAAAAATGACAATATAGCTGTTCATTTATGTAAACTGTATATAATTATATTAATAATAATTCATGTCAGAACAGTGCAAACTAGTTCTTACATGACTCGTATGCTGTGAAAAAATACAAGATGAAACAAATGAAGTTATGATGCAAACTACCATACAGCTGATCTTTGAAATACTAAAGCATGCATCCTCCTCCACCCTCAGTTCTTGACATCAAAGGAACTAGAGTGCTTCTTCACATTTTTAACATAATGAAAAAAAAACATTTCGTCGTGTTAAAAAATGTATGCTGTATTCAAGTTATGTCATCTTTTCATAATTGTATTGATTAATAATTAATAGTGTTAGAATGAAAAGGTGAAATTGTATCTTACATGCCGGGGGTCCTGTCAAAAAGAAAGAAATGATAAAGTGAAGTAAATATTCAGTTGTTAGTTTACTTTAGCATCTGTTTCTTGTTCATTTTTTGGTCGTGATTTCTTTTTTTCTAAAGCTTATTTAGAATGCGAAAGTGTGCAGTATATTATTAATTGGTCCAAATTACCTGGTAAACCTTGTCGTGCTCCTAAAAAGAAAAATATGATAACATCAATTCTCAAAAACATTTGTAAACTTAATTTGAAATATTCTTGCTTTGTAGATACGTTTTCAGTTTCCTGCTTTGTCAGTTTTCAATATACAGTAAACAACAACATTTTATTCAGTAAACAACATATTAGTCTGCAAATAATCAGAAGATTTACTCTTAAGACAAAATGTATGTTATTCATGGGGGTCCTGTCAAGAAGAAAGATATGATAAAGTGAAGGAAATATTCAGTTGTTAGTTTACTTTGAAAAAGGACACTAATTGTTTTAAAATATTGTCAAGATTAGCATCTGTTTCGTGTTCATTTTTTGGATGTGATTATTCCTTTTCTAAAGCTTATTTATGCAAAAGTGTATGAAGTACAGTATATTATTAATTAGTCCAAATTACCTGGTGAAGCTTGTCGTGCTCCTAAAAAGAAAAAGATGATAACATAAATTCTCAAAAACATTTGTAAACTTAAAGGGGACCTATCATGCAAAATGTACTTTTGTACGTCTTTTAAACATGAATATGTGTCCCCGGTGTTCCAGGGAACTCACCAAGTGTCAGAAAACACAACCCTCTCTATTTTCCTCCATACCCAAATCTCTAAAAAAGGGGCTGCAACGGATCTGATAAAAACTGATCCAGATTTGAACACTGTCCTGACGTCAGGACGGTGGCGCTACGGCTATTGGGCCAACTCCACCAATCAGGAGGAGACAGCCACGGCCATTGCCGTTCGAAAGCGCTGGAGACGCTGTAGTACATATGCCAGGCCAGTAGATGGTGCTGTTCTCACAGAATCAGCCCTTGCAAAAACAGAGCTAGAAATTGTCAAATTGAGCAAAATGAGGCATGGCTAAAATGCATGATCTGTTTGGTATTTTGAAAAAAAAAAAGTATAAATATGCCTTATATAGGTATGGTCCTACACTATATTATTCAAATATAGCATGATAGGTCCACTTTAATTTGAAATATTCTTGCTTTGTAGATACGTTTTCAGTTTCCTGCTTTGTCAGTTTTTAATATACAGTAAACAACAACATTTTATTCAGTAAATAACATATTAGTCTGCAAATAATCAGTAGATATACTCTTAAGACAAAATGTATGTTATTCATTAAAATACATCATATTATTAATTAATCAATATTGTAATCTGTTATGTCCAATTCAGATGTATGTCTTACCAAAGTTATGCATCACACTGCCCGCTGTAAAGACAAAAAACAATGACAAAATAAACATTTTTTGGATGTTAACAAATGAGCTTGCATTGCTGCAACATTTATCAAAACCATTATAAATCACTTAAATCATCTCTTCTGTTGCAATACACTAGTATAAACAATCAATGGTAATATTAAATTACCTGAATAAGAAACAAATTGACCAACCTTTACGTTAATCAAATAAATAAATGATGGTGGATTATTTTATAAAAAAATGTATGTCCAGTTCTTTAAATTATATCTATCAATGGCATGCAAGCGCTACCCACAACCTGCCAATAAGAGTTTTTAATATTCATCAAATAAACCAGAGTTTTTCTGATCAGTTTTTTTTTGTTTTTGTTTAAATGTTTTACTAATTAAAAAGACTGTATGCTTTATGTACGTTATATAATAATATTAAAGGTCCCATGTCATGGCCATTTCTACTGATCATAATTCCATTGTTGAGGTATACTAGAATAGATTTATATTGTGCAATTTTCCAAAATCACATTGGTTTCCCATACAGCATCTCTGTATAGTATGTGTATTCACTCTCTGTCCTAACCCCCCCCCTCCCTCCCTGTGAGCCCAGTGGCCGTCTGCGAGACAGCGAGACACCGCGAAACTCAGCCTGGGCACACACACCCGCAGCCTGGCTGGGAATTTGTGTGTGTGCCCAGGCTGAGTTCCGCGGTGTCTCGCTGTCTCGCCGACCCCATACCAGTGAGCCAGCTCACAGTGTCCCGCTCCACGCAGCAGCGAGCCTCGCAACGTCCAGCCGAGTGTGTGTGTGTGTGAGGAAGTCCGCGGATTGGTCCAAACATAACGGCTCCGCGGACGTAACGTAACAGCTCCGCGGATTACCGCGGATACTCTTCAAAGGGTTCATGAAATATGACTACTACTCTTACTGTTTAACATTTTGGGTTACTTAATGTTACTTCATGTTAAGGTTAATACAAATTACAAGGCTAAGGCTGTAATGCTAACTAACGTGCTCGCTACTAGCTATGTAGCTAACTTGATCAAGCCACTCCAGGTCCTTTCATCAGACGGGAAGCGAAAGAACGAGCAAGACCCATTGCTGTTATGATTACAACCTGGTACTTACAGTAGCACACAGGCATCTTGTTAAAGTTATCTCATCTTAGATATCTCTTATATTTAGTGGAGAAAAACAATTATGACATCACTTACGCGACTCTGGGATTTGTAGTCTTTCTAGTTGCGTATTTTTCATAGTCTTATTATATTTCAAAACTGACTTTTTTTACATGGAAATTATGTTTTGAGATTGACAAACATCATATATTACATTACATGTTACTTGTTAGACGCTTTTATCCAAAGCGACTTACATACTCAATACTGTGGACAACCCCCACAGGAGCAAATTGGGGTGAAGTGTCTTGCCCAGGGACACAACGACATGTTTGAACCTGTGACCCCCTGATCCCAACACCAAGGCTCTATCCACTGCTCCACACGCCACCCATATATGTAATTCAAACGGGATCGAAAGATACGTTTTCTCTCCCCATTGACTTCAATACATAATTTTTCCGAAATAAGGTCCCATGGGTCAGAAGTAGATGGGCAGGACTTCGCCTCTCTATTTGAATTTTATCAGACACCAAATTTATAGCATTGAAAATAATTACTTTGAAAATCATGTATCTGATTTTTGTTACTCCGAATTTACCTATGTGAAATAAAAATGTAACAATTCAAGTTAAAAAAAATTGAATGGTCAAATTCAGATCCCAAAGATTCAAGTTAAAAAAATTAATAACATAAAATTCGACGTCAAAGATGTCGATGCAGCATCATCCGGGCTACCCAGACAGGATAAGCAATCGAGCCTGAATGCAATCGAACCGACTTCTGGGGGGTATACTACGAATCTAGTTCAACATATCCTGGATATGTTTTGAGTTATCCGGTTGACTTAATCCAAAACAAACCCGCTCTCGCTAAACTGTCCTACGACGCTGGCTATCAACTCGATCGCTCAAGCCAGCCGTGTCCTATCTAGTTAGGTGCGCGTTCACATAAAATGGGTGGTATCTGGAGCGATCGACCAATCACAAACATGGAGAAGCGTTCTGACAGTGCAGCGTCATACTTCCTGAATGAAAAGTCAACTATAATATTAGTCAAATATGAAGAAGTTAAACTTTAAACATCCATGACTTAAACACTTTATCCAGGATAAAAGCCACATAGCTGCACCTGCAAGGTGAATACAGCTGGTAAAAGAAAAAGTGTTTGAATGCGTACATTAACAGGTTTATGATATCACTGCTGCCCCGTCTAAGACACGAGTGGATCTGACTTTAATTACATTTGACTCGAGTGTTTCCTCAACTTAATGTGTTGCTTAAAATAATACTTCTGCATACAGTATGTGACACTGTGAGTGTTGCACGGCCAGATACGGCTCAAGAAGCTGACTCAGATAAGGAAATATATGATACATTATGATGTGATATGAATGATAATGGGACACATCGACGTCTGCACTCACAGTGCCGCGGACTGTAGGCTACGTAATGTTACTTTGATCCGGTTACTTATGTTGTGGCAGATATTTAATTAAGCTTTCTTAACATAATAGTATAATAATAGTATAATAGTTATAGGCTAATAGTCAGATTGCTCTGAAGATGGGAGGTGATATTCTATTCATTTTCACGTTCACACAGTCGGTGATTTTGGCCGGCTGTCTTTCCTGCAACAGCAGTTTAAACTGTATTTCCTTTCTCCTGTCATATGAATTGATCGCTTTAAACTCCGCACACTGAGCTCTGATTGGTCAGCAGGCAGTGCTTTTATCCTGGAACCTATCCTGCTCCGGAGGCTAGCCGTTAGAATAAGTTATCTAGCCCGCTAAGAAGTGAACCAGCGTCGTAGGACCGGAAATCCAGGAAGTTAGCTTGCTAAACGAAAATCCTGCTTCGTAGTATAGGCCCCTGGCCTATCAGAGCCGAGGGCCGCCATATAGCTCACCTGGTAGAGCTGGCGGTCCATGTCCTGTATAGGGACTTAGTTCCCATGCGGAGGACCCAGGTTCGAATCCGGCCTGGGACCATGTACGCAAGTCATCCCCTCTATCTCCCCCATTTCAACACTGTCATCTCCAATAAAGGCTAATCTGGCCCAAAAAAAAAATCTTTTAAAATAAAGAAAAAAGAGCCAAGCGGAACTCCGGGGCAGTGCCGTGAAGCCCAATGCAACGTCACATTTCAAGATGGTCCAGAAATAACGCTCCCTTAGATATTGTAATATGGTTTGTTGAACTGGAGTTATTTATTGCAGCTAACCGCCTATCTGACGAACGAACCCAAACATTGTTGTTTTTAATATTATTACCAATGCCTCTTTTCATTTTATTATCATCACACTTGAGAAACAGCCTTATTGTGGCTGTAGAACGGAACATGTAACTTAATGCCTGCATTTAAGGACGATGAATAGCGTAGTCAATGCTTTAGTGACAAGGAAATGATTTGTTTAAATATTAGATATGACGTTATGTGTGCTTCAGTGAAAATTAAGCTTATCCATTGCATTGCATTTGTTAAATAGGTTTGTGTCTTACCCTTACGTGTGTGATACATATGAATATGGCATATGAAAACAAATTTTCTAATTTGACTGACTCATGAAAAACACATCCAAAGTAACAGTAAAATAAAAAGGACCTACACAATAATACTCAATCAAACTGATAAGATACAGTATAAGGACTGTGATATCCAGCAATTTCTTAAGTATAACAATAAGATTATGACCTGTTTTTAAAAGAAGATAAAAAGTTGTTTGCATGTCAAGAAGTCTGTAACCCACACATGTAACTTTACATCTGTTTGTTCAAAGTTTCCTTAAGGTGATCCAGACAGGCTGGACCAGAGGAGGAGAGACAGATCTGGACTCCTAACAGCAGAGAACTTCAGCACGGATTCCAAGGTACATATACCTTTTTCATAATTTACAAAGAATGCATAAAGTTATTGGTTTTAAAAAATAAAGTAATGACTCTAATACACTGATATACATGCCATTAAACATTACTAAATACTAGATCACCTACACATCAGTGATGTTGAGTGTACTTTCTTAGCAAAAGGTTACATTTACATTTTGCCAAGCAACATAACTTTTTTGTTCAACTTTCACATTTCAATGTATTTAAGGAAAATATTATTTAACATACTGTAGTGAGAACTGCGACCCTTTGTCTCTGCATATTGACTGTAAAAAACATGTTAAAAGTGATTATTTCAGTGAGACAACCGAAAATAGCAAGCTTCTACAGTTGCACTAAGTTTTGATAACAGTTCAATATTATTTTAATAATGCATTTATTTCAATGTTGATGAATTTAAAATGGTTTATTCATAACCTGATTATCTTTGTAGTACACTGTTGAATTTAAAAAACACATTCAAATAAAAAATCATTATATTTATAGCCCCTGAACAAACAAACACACCTCTTTCTTAAATAACACACTTGCTCTACAATAATATGTTTTTTAATATTTCTGTTAGGAAAGGACATGCCTGAGAGAAGAGGACTGCTTCACCATTTTCTCTTTCTCCGAGGGTCCAGAAGAACATCCAAGAGGGAAAGGAAAAGCTGATGTTATGAGATTTAAGAGCAGTACATGACATTCACTAAGAGACACTTATATTGTAACACAAAGACCTGCACACTGAATATTTTTGTAGTCTAACAGGAACTTAATTTTTATGTTGTTTTGTGTTTTACGTTGCACCTCAGTGTGATTATTGTCAGGCCTATAAAGTTTGGCAAAAGAAAAAGTCAGCTGATCAAATGCATTTGCCTCACTTTATGAGCTTCACAACACTTGTGAAGGGAGGCTGTAGCTCAGTGGATAGTGTGCTGGACTTCGAATCAGGAGATAGCAAGTTTGAGTCCCACTGCAGTCAGCATGTCGTTGTGTCCCTGGGTAAGACACTTCACCCCAAATTGCTCCTGTGGGGATTGCCCACAGTACTGAATGTATGTAAGTCGCTTTGGATAAAAACATCTAACAAATGACATGTAATGTAATGTTGTGCCTTGTACCGCAGAGTTTGCAACGTCACAAATAAATGGTGCCAATCTTCAGTCAGATGTGAATGTGTAATTTAACATTTTCAGTAAGAATAACGGACAAAAGGAGTGCAAATACAAATACAATTTATTGAATTGTGAACTAAAAGTTATCAAGCGTAACCATCACAATTGTTTTTTTAATAAAAACGAAATAATATACATAAATTAAAGTCACACCAAATGTTAATCTGTTAATTGATTAAGTAAACACATTTTGTCAAATAAAGTGACAGGCTAGGCCTGTGCAGGTGGTAACAGCTATGCCCAGCATGGGCTAAGTTCTGTAGGTGCAGCTGGTGCAGTTCCTCCTTCCTCAGGCCTGGTCCTCCTTGCAGGGGAAGACCCTCGGTTCTCTCCGGCCAAACCAACAGACAGGACATTCATAAAGCTGAGGTTTCCCCCAAAGTCTCTAATCATCCATACTGTGAATATGAGAGGGGAAAAAATAGTGTAATAGATGCTTTGGACAATAAGAAATATAAAGTTAACTGTTGAGTTGCTCAGTTTTTTAGATTGACAATGCTACCACTGTATTACTAATTTCTCACATCTGAGGGTTTAATCATTTAAAAAAAGGAGAGGCACCGTAAAATAAAGATTGGTCTTTCAATAAATTGTGTTGATTTTGTCTTTTGAATTGTTTTTATCTAAAGTCAAGTAGCTAGAACTGTTACTTATAGTTTGAATGATACAGTCTGGTTATAGACCATTCAAAGCTTTGAATGGTTTAGGCCCAAAATACATTTCTGACCTAATGCTAAATTATGAACCATCCAGAACTCTCAGGTCATCAGGGACTGGTCAGCTTTCTGTCCCCAGAGTCAGAACTAAACATGGAGAAGCAGCGTGCAGTTATTATGCTCCAAATATCTGGAACAAACTACCAGAAACATGCAGGTCCGCTGCAACTCTTACTACTTTTAAATCCAGGCTGAAGACTTTTCTTTTTGCCGCTGCTTTTAATTGATATATTAATCTCACACTGCACTGTAACCTTTATCTTTGCTTTTTAATGCCATTTTCTTAATTTCTTTCATTTTTGTAAAGCACTTTGAATTGCCTTGTGTTGAGTCCCCCCAAAGGTAGTTAAAGTCTGCCTGGTTCGCGGAGGACACCAAAAAAGTCCTAGAAAAGACAACTTAAACTTAACTAATGTGCATTTAAAGAAAAGAGGAATAGTTTTGGCGAAAACTAAAAAGGTATAATGGGGTACAGGAATTAGTTTTGGTTTCAAGACCCTGGTTCACGGAGGATACCAAAAAAGTCCTAGAAAGACAAGGTAAACTTAACTATGTGCATTTAAAAATAAAAAAGAGGAATAGTTTCGGCGAAAACTAAAAGGTACCATGGGGTCAGATTATAATTTTCCAAAGGGGAGTTTGTTCAGATGTGTGTATCTCACACTGCACTGTACTTTAACTGTAATTCCAACACACTCTCACTCCCTAAACGTCCAGGAGCGACGCTTGGTCAGGGTCCCGTGGCGTGCAGTTGGGACGCGCCGAGGCTCCTTCAGCTTCATAAACGGACGCAAAGAGCTTTCAACTGATTGCAATGTATTCCCATCGGCGGCGGTATTTGACGCTCATGGAAGCACCGCATCGGTCCATGTCGGCGGCTGTTTAAAGGCAATGTGAGCGTCCATTCCCATTGGATAACGGAGGATTTTACACCCGGAAGTAACTATTCTCCTTACTGTCGATTGATTTTACAGTGATATCTGCACTACTCATCAACTCAAAAACACCAAATTATCCTTGTTAATTACACAACATTGATTGGTTTAAATTGTGTGCAATGCTTTTGTGTTTTTCCCCTTCGATTCGGAGAAACAAATATTTTTTCGGAGTTTAGGATGACAGAAGACACTACACTACCCAGAATCCTCAGCTATCGTTTAGGACTACACCATGTGCTTTGTTTGACAAACCCTGTGATTAGTTCTCAAGCTCTGTGATTGGTTGACCTCCAACTGCATTCCATATGAAAAAAAACGTTTCGTAAAAGATAAAATCATACTTTATTCAGCAGTGCTTGCTTTACTCTTTGAAAGTAATCACATGAATGCATTGTAATAAATGGTTCGGCTGCATTAAATATTACACATCTGTTGTAGTTCTTTATTTATCTACAGAGATCGGGCTTCAGAATAGACTGGAAACTATTCTTTTACCGTTCTGTTTTAATTTCACAATAAAGTTAGTAGTAATATTTCGTTTTGATATTATTGTTTTTTATTAACTACTAGACCGCTGGGTCATGTTAAGACCATCTTTTCTGTGTTGCTGTGGGTTTTTTCCATCGCTTTTGTGTTACAAATATCAAAACAATAACAAAATATATCCGTCGTAAACGGTTTAACACTGTAAACTTGACAGCTTTTTAACCAAGCGGCAAACTCTGGGGAAGAGCCGGGACGCCAATACGGAAGTGCCACAAACTGCAGTTCATATATTGGCCGATAGGCGATGACTGCAGAAAGGAGCAATTTCCATAGACCCCCATGTTAAAATGCCCAATTTCACAGCAAAAAAAAAAACCTTTCTAGCCCTGGATGCAATAAATATTATTATGTATATAGTTAGATTCCACCTTCATGATTATGAATCTGTGAGTGAATTGTTTCTAACATGACCCTTTTATTTATATTAGGTCTTAAAGTTTTTGCATAAATTAGGGCGTGGTCACATTGAGTGACAGCTCTGTCAAGTGACTGCTGCTGTTAGCTTCTTGTCTCTCTGCTAGCTGCTCCGTCTCCCTCCGTGAAGCTACAGGGACTCTGCCTGCTCAGTTCATCCAGGGAACACAACTTGACCCCGGCCGTGTTTGTTTGTTCTTCATGCTTATATATCGGACTATTGTGACTCGCTCTGCGGTTAAAACAGACGGTGCATGAATGCCGTTTTGCGGTAAGTGAAATTCGAGTACTTTATTTATGTGTTTATGATTTCAATCAGCTACGTAATGAATGTTAAGGCTTGGGTTAGCGTGTAAGTGAGTGGTAGCTACATCGGTGCTAACGATGCTAATCTTAGCCTCCAAGTTAACTTAAAACCATAGACTGTATATATAAAGGTTAAAACGAAATAGACAAGTGTTAAGCGTTAAGTGAGATAATACTGTAGAACAAACGGCTTCTGTTTGAGGTTGATAAAATAAGGTCATCCTTGTAACTTAGAGAGATATTTTATTATGTAGGTAGGAACTGTATGCATCGCTAAGGTTAATTTAAATTGGCTATGCTCAAGTATGTAGACAAGCTAACGTCGAAGTAGTGTATGTGAAATCAACCTCACAATAAGATGTGTGTATATTACAATTATTAATGTCATATTTCAAGATGATTACTAAGATATTACAATATGGTTGGTTGAGCTGGAGTTCATTATTGAGCTTACACGTTAACATCACAGTCATCTGAAGAACGAATCCAAACCTTGTTGTTTTTATTAATTGCATTACTAAATTGGTATCAAATAAACAGTGGTAACACAACTTCCAAAGTTACAGTAAAATAAAAAGGACCCTGACTCGGCCAATACACAATCCAACATGTTCAACAGAAGATAATAAGTTATATTGTTTGTACACATGGTTCTTTACATATATATCTGTTTGTTTAAAGTGTCCAGGTGATGCAGACAGGCTGGACCAGAGAGTGAGAGACAGAACTGGACTCCTCACAGCAGTGAACTTCAGCACAGGTACAAATACTCTTTTTTCATACTGTACAAAGAATCAAGAAAGATATTGGTTTAAATAAATGAAGTATTGACTTTAATACACTGCTATACATTCCATTAAACAATACTAAATACTAGATCATCTACACATCAGTGAAGTTGAGGGTTTTTTCCATGCAAAGGGTTACATTTAGATGTTAACAAGCAATATGACTGTCAGCTTTCTAATGTAATGTATTGAAGGCAAAGATATTTAACGCATAGTGACAACTGCTATTTATCTCTCAATATTGTCTGTAAAAACGTGGTAAAAGTTATTCTTTCAGTGAGACAACAGAGCAAGCTTGTTTTAATAACAGTTAAATATTATTTTGATAATAAAATGTATTTCAATGTTGATGAATTTCATACTGTTCATTCATAATCTGATTGTCTTTGTAGCTCACTGTTGAAATAAAAAAAAAACATTACAATTACAAAATAATTATATCTACAGCCCCTAAACACAAACACACCTCTTTCATAAATAACACACTTGTTCTGCAATAATATGTTTTATGTTTCCTGTAATTTTTGTTAGGAAAGGACATGCCTGAAAGACACGACTCAGCATCTCCTCTTTCTCCGAGGGTCAAGAAAAACATCCAATAGGAAAATTAAAAGCTGATGTTATGAGATGTTAAGACCAGTACAGGACTTTCACTAAGAAACTATTTTTATTGTGAAAACACAGTCAGCTGATCGAATGCACCTATTTCCACATCTATACTCCATCAGCTGATTATTTCT